CAACTATTATTAATTAGTATTTCTTTTTTATCAAAATATACTATATGCATATGGTCATTTACATGTTATTAGAATGGGACATATCACAGGAGGAAAAAGCTATTTTCAAAGTAATATGGAAACTTAACATAGAACTTTGGAAAAGCTGCTGAGTAGTATTACGATGCCTTTACTTTGCATAATTCTACAGATGCCATATCCTAAACCTATGTCCTATCTTCCTATGTGTTTAAGCAAATCAAAACTGACAGCGAACAGACCTTTTTAATGTGTGTCATCATATTTTATTCTAGAAGAGGCAAGTTCTTGCTATGGAACATGTTTCTCAAATGCATCTGAGGCTTTTCATATTTAATGTTGCATCTCTAGATCGTTTCACAGATAAATTCATCTCATCATGAAATAATTTTCCTGAAACTGTTGTGTATAGGACCAAGATACTACACACATACATAAATATACAAGATACTACACACATAAATAACTTGCAGTGAAGGATACAAGATTTTAAAAATATAATAATAATAAATTAAGGTAAATAGAATCATATATAAAAATATATATATATATAAAAAATCAGTAAACATCTGCCTAAATATCACTGACTTTTAGAAAGTATTTCTAGCTGGGTGCAGTGGCTCATGCCTGTAATCCCAGCACTTTGGGAGGCTGAGGCGGGCAGATCACAGGGTCAGGAGTTTGAGACCAGCCTGGCCAATATGGTGAAATCCCATCTCTATTAAACAATAGAAAAAAATTAGCCAGACATGATGGTGGGCACCTGTAATCCCAGCTACTCAGGAGTCTGAGGCAGGAGAATTGCTTGAACCCAGGAGGCAGAGATTGCAGTGAGCCGAGACTGCACCACTATACTCCAGACTGGACAACAGAGCAAGACTCTGTCTAACAACAACAACAAAAAAAGTATTTCTAACTATGGTGTTGATCAACATCTATTGAGTAATCTTTCCAAAGTTTTCCCTAGTGAACGGATGATTGCACTACTTACCTAATTGCATCATTGGTCTCT